ATTATCAAGAAAATTAGAAAATATTAATTACATAATACTAGAATGTTTTATTTTATTAAAAGACAAAGCGAAAATTTATATAGAAAAGGAAATAATTTAATTAAAAATAAAATAGAAATATCTAATTTTTAAGAAAACTTAAAAAATTATTTCATGTTAGATGTTTAGAAAAATATAAAATCATTTCATTTCTGATTCAGATGATTAAATAATATCCTTTGTCAATAAATTAATTTTTAAAGATTATTAGTAATTTTAATTCTTTAATTTTAAATAAATAGGAATCTATTTATATAAGGGAAAGGGATTATGTAGATTTTATGATGAATAAGTTGAACTTTTTGTACTCTTTACATAATCATGGCAATAGCGAAAAATCAATTTAGTCAATTTTAATTAATTTAAACCTCATATAGCATCATTTTTAGGGATCAACAATCTCTAATATGAAAGACAGGAATTCAAGGTAAAATGGGATTGAAACATATTTATGAGTAGATTGAATTATTATATTAATTGGCTAATTTCAAAAAATTGATGATCTAATATTTCTGAATTTAAAACTAAATGGAGCTATAATCTAAAATATAGAATTTCTTTATTCAATAGCCCACGCTGACAAATATTAATTTATATAAGTTTTTCACAATACAAACATTCGAAGGCTTCTTAATATCAATATGGAAAATTATGGGAATGAAATTTCATAATTATTATTGTATATTTTTAAAGAAGATGTAGAATGTGATAAATATGCTTTATATTTTTAAGGATCGGTACATATTTCTTAGAAAATGCAATTTAAATTAGAAAAAAAGATTATAAATAATATTCAAATGGTGGCGGTGATTTAGAAGAATAATCAATAAAGAGAGGGGCCGATAGTATGACCCTTCTTTTTAAGACATTTATCACTTATTTAATAATGAAAAAATACCATTTCCATTATAACTTAATAAATTCGCTGAGTTTCTTATAATCTTAATCTTTGCAATTTAATATGATCCAGCCAAATTTGATTATATTTTCACTTAATAAATATTTGCCTTTTGTTTAATGGGAATATTTCCAGCCATCATTAAGACAATCAGCTTCAGATAGTTCATACAGAATCTTATTTATAAATAAGATCTGTATCAAGGAAATCAAAAGCATTTCGATAATAAATATTTATAATTAAAAAGAAAAGTTCTAGCCTAAATGAAGAAATTGGCAAAATTAATTATCATTCTCATGTATCAATATTTAAGGATTAAATTATAAAAAGAAAGAATTAATAAGAATAACTTCTGGAGGTAATCACATTTTGGAGATTCAAGATATATCCAAGGTAGATATAAACTGATATCAATTTTTAGACTGCCTTTGATACTACAC